ATAAAATATCTCTCAATCCAAAATAACAGACACTTCAGTATTTAAATACCTAGTAATACCTAAATACTCTTTTCCCATCGCTGTTTTAGTGTCATCATCCGTGAAGAGTGCGCGAAACAGAATTCCACTTGAAACACTTGCAGAGGAGAAACGAATAGTCTACGTCCAGAATCTTCGACCATTCACGTTTTATCCAAATGTAAAACTTGTTCTCACAAAATCCGGCGCATGGTAATCCTTCATACTCATACAAATCGGTAATCTGGGGAAAACTAGGGAACGTGGAGATGGTACTCTGGAACATGTGCGTCATGAGCGTTCAGAAGTGTTGCATTAATGACTCTGTCCTGCTTTCCGATCACTTCCCTATCACCATCGACTTCCTCCTCCCGCATTCAACCTAAAACTCCCCATCTCCAATGAAACTGAAACGATTTCGGAGATTATTTCCCCTATCTCATGGTAACTTCAAACCATAACATGATATAAACTCCCTCATGGGAACCATCTGCACTAATATTTTCGTTTCTTTCTGCCGATCATCCCCTAGCCGAAGAAACCGTTTGACCAAACTGAATATTTGGTAATAGTTATTGGAATTAAAAAATTAGAAAAAGAAAAAGATGAAAGGATCAATTTATTTTATAAATTACATCCTCCAGTAGGAAAGACGCCATCTTTCTTCAGGACTTCAGACGAAATTGAAATCGACCCAGACGTGCAAATCAATATTTCATGGAAAAACGAAAAAATTATGAAACACCCAGAAATATTATTGGAACGAATCGATCAATTTAAGTGAGTACTGTAGGTGTTGAATGTTTTCCAAGGATATATTCTCGGATTTTTCAGTTATGAGAAATATCTCATGACCTTTGTCCATTTCTTCGGCATATCCCGATGAATTGATCCCTGAGAAAACATCATCTACCGAAATTTCGTAGACACTTTTGGGCTATCAAATTTGAATTGGATTTAAGATCGAAGCATTTCGGGCGGATTGTACAACGAAAAAGCATGACCCTCGCGAAATGGTGTGTATTCAAGTATTCAATAAAACCCGAAACTTGATTTTTCATGAACGTAAGGGAGTGCTCTGACCTTTTTCCCTTTCCGCGCTGAAAAACTAGGGAAGACGTCCGTAAGAGGGTTGAACCATACGGAAGCTAATGAGTTCCTCTTCAAAATGAAATAAAATGCATTTCCATTCTCCAAGTAGAAGTCCATCATCAAGCGAAAGAATTTTAAAAATAGGGTCTCTAGAAGGTTAGATTATTCTTGTTCTATAT